CAGACTGTTGAGGGTTCAGCCTCCTGATGAGTCGGTGAAACTCCGACGAAACAGTTTGTCACAGCCCCTCGTTTGTTGTCCTCTTCTCCCTCTCTGCCTACGGTTTATATATATATATAACAAACAAACAAACTGTTGTTTTGCACTTTGAAGACGAAGTACTGCCTTGCAAGGGGCCCCTATACTGGGCCAATGACATTCAGGGCCTTCTCATGGCAAGGGGATGAGCTGTAGGGTAGGGGGACAGGGGATAGGATATGAGTTGAGATCAACTAAATGACGCGCTTTGATGAGTTGTGACTCAGTTTTGCAATGTAATGGGCTGAAGGGTATGGGAATGGCGGATGGAATGAGGGTTGTGATTGACTGAGGATGACGTAAGATGTGTTATGGCTCGGATTTACAATGTCATGGGATGCTGGACCCGGTTTCCAGCAGGTGCAGCTCCCCACCTATAGAAAGGAGCCATCCAATAGGCGGGCCAGTAGAAGGGGTGTCTGCTCTTACCAGCATCCCTCCTACGCCCGGCAGCGATGTTTTTGTCAAAAAAAAAAAAAAAAAGACCAAGTACTGCCTTGCACATCTAAACAGTTTGTAGTTCATAAGAATAATAATTTCATACACCTTTGACAAATATAAATGAAAGGGGAAAAGTCCGAAAAGGTGATGACAATACTTCCTCCTTACGCAGTAACAATAAAATAAACAGCCGAAACAAGTGCAGATGCCGTACTTTGATGGCCTTTTCGAACTCGGCGGCTGTTTTCTTTGCCCACATCTGTTTTTTTTGGCGCCCATTTGAAACTTTTTTTCTGACGTAAACGTACTTGCCCCTGAACAAAAATACACAAACAGCCATTACAAGGGTCCTGAGGCAGGGGTAGCGAAGGGTCCCGACGTCACCCCCCCCTTCCCCTCCCCCCCCCAGCCCCTCCTGCCACGACTTGGGCTGCAGGGGTATCTGGGTCTATCTTTGCTCTTTTCTACATGTACTTGAACTTGTTCTCTGCTTCCCGGTAATAAGTAACAGGACTGTTGCTCCCAGAATAGAAGGGGCATATGTGTTGGGGGGAAAAGAAAAACTAAAAACACAAAAAAGCACAAAAAGAAGAATCGTCGGTGCAACCTCTTGCACTTGTACCCTTTGCCAACAAGTGCGGACGCAGCGCTTTCATTGCCTTTTCGAACTCGGCGGCTGTTTTCTTTGCCCGCACGTGTTTTTTTTTGCCCATTTCGAAACTCTGTTCTGAACTTCTGAGAGTATAAATGAAAGGAGTGAAATAAAGAGTAGCTTCTGGAAACATTGGTATTGAAAATTTTAAAAAAAACATAAGTTCCCAAAGTACTTGCCCCGGAACAAAAGTACGCAAACAGAAGAACAGTGGGTGCAACCTCTTACACTTGTGCCCTTGGCCATTCTGTTATGCGGTTACTCTTCTGCAGCATGTATTTGCTGAATCGTACGGGCACAAGACAAGACGACTGCGCGAGCATCCAAAAGATTACACGTCCGATTCTTTGATCGACTTTGCCGACGACCGCCCAAATGCAAGGCCCTATGAGGTGCCGCCACTACTTCACTATGAGCAAGACGAGCCTCAGGTCTATCATTTCAGAGATCCTGACGAAGATCATTGAGGCGAAGTTTCCGTGAAAACTCTGATCCATCTGTCAGTGAGGGCCTCATGCCCCCACGCACCTAACACGAGTGAGACATCAAAAAACAGGGATTCAAGGGGAATGGAGCGTTAACATTCATTCGGATTCTAACGCAAGTCGACTTTGGAGACTTCCATTACTCCACAGGCCGTTGCGAAATCTCCGCCAACGCCTGCTGTGCTCTGTTTTACATTCTTTTTTTTCTTTATTATTAGATCACAAGTACCTTTCTCAGCTGCTATAGATGCCGAGCCTAAAATCGGCCTGTGCGCCGAAAAAAAAAAAAAACGAACCAGCGCGGGACTCATTTTGGCTGGCGCCACCAGCCATTTCCGTCTGGCAGCTCCGAACCCCATCCACCTCCCGCGTTACCCGGCCGCGTCTCGGCAAAATAGCTGGGAAAGGTACTGGTGGTCTATACCACCAGAACTTGGCCCAGCTATTGGCCGCGGAAAAAAAAATGGAGTGAAAACGTCTCTAGTCGGATGAATTTGGGCGCTCCTGTAGTGGCCCGTACGTTTCCTAAAAAATTGTGGCGCGCTAATGGGCACAACTTTAGGAAGTACTGCAGTGGTTTAACAGGAGAATCATACTTGCCAGCTTCTAGCAGAACATGCACTCGCCATTTTGCGCATTTGGTGTGACGTCTTGCGGCGAGACCCTGGATGGAAACGTTGAAATGCCTCAGACATGCCCGGGGGGCCAAGTCCCACTTCCGCTGATTCTTTATTTCCGACAGTTGATCTTGGTAATCTACGGTCCGAAGTTGAGAATTGGGGGGTAAGTGGGACCTGCCAAGTAATCTGGTGACTAGAAGCCGCAGCTAACCTACCGGTAGCCCCCAATCCGCCCCCAATCTGCGTCCAGAAAGGCCCCGGTGGATTTCAACTTTGCAGCCCTTGCATGGTGGGAGTGACTGGATTTTAACTTCACATGGAGTTCATGATGTTTCTATACCTCTTTGATGTTTGAGGACACTGGATCTAAATAACTTTTCTGCTCCCCATAATGGATATGGAGCCAGGCCCATAAGGACCCCTTTTTCTTTTTCTCTCGCTCTCTCTTTTTGGGGCCCCGTTCCTTTTCTTCTTGTTTTTGTTTGTTTTTTAACTGCAGAGCCATTCATTGTGAGGAATTTGCTCTTGGATTAGATTCTTTGACAACAATGACAAGCCTTTTTTATATGGACAATGGACCCCCCCAGTGTTTGTTTGTTTTTTTAATCGATCCTTTTTTTGGTGAAAAATAAAAAAAAAAGAAAGAAAAAGATTGATTGATTGATTGACTGATTGATTGATTGGTTGAATTGACTGATTGATTAATTTATTCAAAAAAAAAAAAAAGCATTGATGTGTGCAGCCGTGTGTCTGCCCACACACTCCCTAAGTCTCTGTCTCTCTCTCTGCCCATGCCCGCGCATGCATCAGAGAGAGAGAGAGAGAGAGAGAGAGAGAGAGAGAGAGAGAGAGAGAGGTGCATGTTTGTGTGTGTGTGTGTGTGTGTGTGTGTGTGTGTGTGTGTTCGTGTGCGTGTGCGTGTGCGTGTGCATGTGNGTGTGTGTGTGTGTGTGTGTGTGTGTGTGTGTGTGTGTTTGTGTGTGTTCGTGTGCGTGTGCGTGTGCGTGTGCGTCTGCGCGTGCATGTGTGTGTGTGTGTGTGTGTGTGTGTTGGCATATCCGCTATGCTAAAAGGGCCTTTACCCGATTCAGACCCTTTTGACGAAATGCAGCATAGTGGGGTCACTCGCCCAGAGCCCAACTCGTGAAAGCAGATCAAAGGACATGTTCTCTGGGTCAAAAGTCACATCCGAGACAAGTAAAAGTCAATGTCAAAGGTCACAGTTGTGCCCCTGAACGAACAGTTGCAACATTTAGATATGGGAGTCACATCTGTTCATCCAGGGGATGTGCAAGTCATGTCTGTTCATGCAAGAGATGTGTCTGTACGTGCAGTATGTGTGTCTGTTCATGCAGTAGGTGTGTCTGTTCGTGCAGAATGTGTGTCTGTTCGAGCAGTAGGTGTGTCTGTCCAAAGCAAGTCAAAAGGATAAAGTCCTAGTCACGAATTAAGTTAGAAGGAGAGTCTAGATACAGGCTCTAAGTCCAAAATTCAGGCCTGAAGGCCGCAGCAGCAGCAGACCCTGAAAGAAAAGGTACTGGGACACACTTCACAGAGGCTGGGACTGGGACAGGACACAAGACAGGCTGAATTCAGACCTCGCAAGGGGAGGCCAGCACTATAAAAGACGAGGCAGCCTCCCCATCAGGCAGATTCCCATTGGCATTGCTGCGTGGAAGTGCTGAGGCACTTGTGCGCTAGAATGCAGGAAGGGGCGCTGGCAGGAGAAGCTGCGCCAGAAGGGAGATGAGCTGGGCGCTGGCTGCAGGGAAGCCATAGCTGCGCCAGCCTGAGTTAGTAGAAACAGTAGAAGGGGTTAGTAGTAGGACATCAGTGAGAGGCATTCAGAGTAGATTCTCGTAGGCAGGGAGTGAGCATGCATAGTGAGAGAAGGGAACGACGATAGGGATCTTGAGAGAGAAGATACGAAAGAGAGAGGAGACAGGTTGCGAAGTGGGATATGGTGAATGCTTACCTATTTGCACCATACTAGTGATCCGAAGGGTGACGCTGGTTGAGCCAGGTTCTATGCTGGCAAATGAGCGAAGAAGACTTGCAGTTTATTGGCGCTGAACTTTGAACTCAAGATACTCTTGTATAATATGAATTTGATAATAAGAGCTGCGCTTTCTGGTTTCTATCTCATCTCGACTTTGGCTTTGTGTGAAGCTATCCTATCTGTGTGATGACAAATGTGCATGGCATTTGAACACTCAAGCAATTGTGAACAGTCAGGTTCCTTGCAATGCACTAAAAAAATGCATGATTGTGCCAGACTGTTTCATCGGACTTTGGTGTGTGGGTGGGTGGGTGTGGGTGTGGGTGTGGGTGGGTGTGCGTGTGTGTATGTGTGTGTGTGTGTGTGTGTCTGCACGTGTGTGTGTGTGTGTGTGTGTGTGTGTGTGCACGCGCTTGTGTGTTCGCGCTTCTGTGTGTGTATGAGTGGTGTCCATGTGTGTGTATATGTGTGTGTGTGTGTGTGCATGGGTGTGCACATGTGCGTGTGTGTGCGATGTGCGTGGGCGTGCAATCAGTCAATCAACCAGTCAATCAATCATCAGGTGTTAACCAATCAATCAATCATTTTTTTGGGGGGCTACCTTGCACCCAAGCCCCCCCCCACAAAAAAAAGGTGTCCGTTTTTCTTTTCCAAGCTGGGGGGGTGCCCTCGGATACCCCCATCCCCCTTCCAGCTTTTTTTTGTTTAATAGGGATTTTGTAAGGCCTAGAAAAGCCTTCGGACGGCCGTACGTACGGCGCATTGGAAGGTCTGGGGCCCCATATGTACGGGATTCCAGCCGTGCGGACGGCCCGGTTCCGTGCATGGGGACTACACTGTTGCCAGGCACTGAACCGTTGAGTTTGGAAGAAAGGGATGGCCATCCTTCTCTTGTTTTGCTACCACTGTGAATTGTTCCCCCTTCGTGTTGCTCTCCATTTTGGCTTTCGTTTGTCCTTCACGAATGCGCTATGAATGATTTTTTGTTATGGGCTTGTGTGGTGTGAAGCAACGACACTTGTTTCATGCTTTTCAAAGTAATTTCATGGGTCGTTTTCGTATTATCTTCTTTGAAATTTGGTGACTTCCTCCTAGTATGGGTAGGACCCCACAGGAATGCGGAAAGGAAAAACTTTGCCGCAGAAGTGTTTGCGGGACCCCACACCTCGCGGAAAAGTTTATGGAAAGGCCGAAATGTCTTCCAAAAACCGTATTTCGGGACCCCACAGCCCGCATTTCGTGGCCTGGAAGATCGCCTCTGGACGTTTTCACATGGTCCGTGGCCTGGAAAACGGCAAGCGGAGGAAATGACGGCGCAAATTTGTGCCGAAAGCTGAGGTTGGCCCCAGAGCCGTCTTTAACTTTTCCAAAACCAGGTCCCGTGGATGGAAGGCAGCAGCAAATAGCTATGAAGAGTGCCACAAAAAAAAAAAAAAAAAAAAAAAAAAAAAAAAAAAAAAAAAAAAAAAAAAAAAAAAAAAAAAAAAAAANAAAAAAAAAAAAAAAAAAAAAAAAAAAAAAAAAAAAAAAAAAACGAAAAAAGAACAAAACAAACGAGTGCCAACGGAAACAGGCAACGATTGGCTCAACTGATTTCCGAAGGGTTTTCCAAGAGCATTTGGTCCTCTGCAATGGGGTCCCGGAAAATTACTTTCCGACTTTCCAAAATGACTTGCCCGCTTTTCGTGGCCACACGTCTTTTCCATCCGCACCGCAGTGGGGTCCTTGCCTATGTCCACAAGAGCGTGAAAGTTGTACACGCGATGCGATTCAACAAGGATGGTCACCGTAGGTTATTCAGTGTCTTCGTGAAAAATGTTTAATACACTTGTCTGCTCTTCCTGGTGATGGGTACAGAAGAAACGTGAGCTATGCCACAGCGATGAACAAGATAAAGACAAGTGACGAACAAGAAAAGAAAAGAAAAAAAAAAGGAAAGAAAAGAAAAGAAAAGAAAAGAAAAGAAAAGAAAAGAAAAACATGGATGACCATTTCACTGTTCGCGAACCATTGCACGCAACACATGTGCATGACCTTTGTACAAAAACGAAAAAAAGAACGAAAACGAAGTCAAAGTACTGGCACATGTCAGTGTAGTCAATCACCCTTCACCATGATAATCGAATGTTACTGTCCTGATACGTGGAGGGGGATTGACAGCATGAGTAGAGGATGAACGTGCGTTGAGGCTAGGCTACGAAAAAGACCAAAAAGTAAGAAGAAAGTTAAAAACGACAACAGAAACCACAAATATCCGCTTTTACGATGCACAATGCACTGAATCACTTCCTTGCCGACTACCTTTAAGTTTGTGGGAGAAGAACATACACTAAAGAAATAATGAAAAAGAAAGATAATGAAAAGCAAGGTAGACAGCATGTCAAGCGTTCTCACAATCTTAATTGGCCACGTGGCGCTCATGAATTCGTAGTTCTTGG